TTCTAGCCACGCCCCCGCCCCTCTAGCCCCGCCCCTACGCCTCTAGCCCGGCGCGTGTGTTTCGCTTTCAGTGGGAGGCGCGGGAGCGCAGCGAGGGGAGGAACCTGCAGGAGCCTGGGCCAAAGCCGGCCGGACCTCCCGCGCCGCCGCCGCCACGCGCCCCATGGCTCCCGCCGCCCTCTGGGCCGTGCTGGCCTTCGGACTGCAGCTCTGGGCCGCGGGCCGCGCCGTGCCCGCCCAGGTGGGTGCCTCGCGCGGGCCACGGAGTGCGCCTGCCCCTCACGCCCACCGGGCTGGCGCCACCCCGGGAAGCGCCGGCCACGAGCTCCCGGGGCGCCGAGACGGGGGTGCGGGGCTCGGGGCGACCGAGAAGCCGCGCGCCCCACAGGGTCAGACTCTGCGCCGCTGGAGACCCGCTGGGGACCTCGGTTTGGCACCGAGGAAGGGGTGTGGGGGGCACCGAACTCCCGGGGTCGGGGGCGCAGTCAGGTCCCTCCGCCAGTCCCGGCCAGGGCGTTTGGAGATCCCCCCTTCGTTACCCCTGTGACTGCCGAGACCAAGCTTTCCTTCCCGTGGGGAGGAGGTGGCCTGCCCTGGGGTGCTGCTCCTACTGCGGATGCCGGGCACCCTTTTCAGCTGCCGGGCACCCTCTTCAGATGACTTCCTCCTCCTCTGAGTTATGGTTTCCTCGTTCTTAGAAATACAAGGGCTGCATTTCTGAAAGGATAGGGCCAGGTGTACAGTAGGCGCCTAATAAGGGCACAGTCGAACCGTGGGCTGATTTCCATGCCCAGACCCCTCCCCCAGGAGCCACCTGGTGTGTCCAGCGGCCACTTGAGAGTCTCTTCTCTGGGGGCTGCGGGGTAACGAGGAGGAGAGACGTGTCCTCAGTTTCCCCTGGGCCCACCTCCCCGGGACCTGTCCTGTGCTTGAGCTCTGGGGACCAAGGAGGTGAGGGAGGACTTGTGGGTGGTCTCTAGGGGCTCCAGGAAAATGGAGAGAGCAGAAAGCCCAGAGCTGTTATTCTAACTGCACCCACCAGCCAGCAAGGCAGTGGAATGGCTTGTCCTCTGCTTTTGTGGCTGTCTCCATGCTCTCGTACAATAGAGGGACCCCATTTTACAGAGAAGGAAAACTGAGGCCCAGAGAGCTCCTTGTATTTCATGGAAGGGCATGGGAGGCAGTCTTCCTCCAAAGGGTCATCTCTTCCTTTCCCCCCATGGCTGGGGAGGGGGTGGGCCTTCCTCCCTCCTCATGGTCCTTCCCTGATGGACCTGTAGTTTGTACTGAGCCATCTTGGACATCTTGACCAGGAAGGAAAGTGGGGGAGGTGGCATTGACTCATGTGGCCATGTGTGGTGACTCACCCGCTAAGGCTGAAATTTCACAGTCCAGTTCTTGAAGGCAGAGGAGGGGCTGTCCAACCAGAATCCACTCTCACACAGTGGATTGTGGGGGACTGCCCCAGAGGTTGTCCTGGAAACAGAGGTGGTCCTGGGTGGAGAGTCCCAGCTCTGAGAGCTGAGCGTGGGTGCTGACGGCTGTGGTCCTCAGCCTGACCGCAGTGGCTGACCGGAGCGGCGTCACCCTGCTCCGGCGGCACGTGAGCCCCTGGGGTGGAGGCACAGGTCTCTGTGGCCTATGGGACACCAGGCCCGAGTCCTGGAGTTGAGGGGTTTCCCTTGCATCTCTCACCTCCCTCCCCTCTTGACCGGCTCCGGGGTCATCTCAGGTTCCCTCCTCCTGGTACTATCTCCACAGCCTCTGAGCTGATCTCTTAGCCCTGCGCCCCCTCCCATGGACCCTCCGTGGTGGCACCGCGGGGAGCCCCTCCTCAAGTTGGAGCATCTCTCTCCCTGCCTGAGAAGCCTCTGTGGCCCCCTGTGGCCGAGGCAGAACCCACCCCCCACCTACCCCTGTGTCCCAGGACAGAGGTATCCAGGTTCTTGCTGCCCCCTCTCTGCATCTGTACTTCACACCCTGTGAAACACGTGTACCCTGTGCTGTTCATGGTGCACCCCTTGCCCTGTCCTTCAGGGCCTTTGCAAACGCCACCCCCTGAATTCTTCATTCTTCCAGCTGGATCTGATCCTTTTCCCTTTTCCTCTCAGAGCCCTTGTCCCTCTCGAGGATAGGTTACATTCTGCTTAAAAAAATAATAATAATTTTTTTTTTATTGATTTCAGAAAGGAAGAGAAAGGGGGGAGAGAGAGAAACATCAATGATGAGAGAGAATCATTGATCGGCTGCCTCCTGCAGGCCCCACACTGGGGATCAAGCCCGCAACCCAGGAATATGGCCTGGCCGGGAATTGAACCGTGACCTCCTGGTTCATAGGTGATCGCTCAACCACTGAACCACGTTTTTAATCGAGTTTTTATCCGCCTCAATAGATAGAAAGTTCCTTGAGGGCGGGGACTGAGGGGCCCTCCTCCTTCTCATTGTCACCAGCACAATCGCTCCAGTTTTTGGAACATCTCCTGAGAGCCTGGTACTGTGCTAGGAATTTACCACAGGATCCCCCTGGAATTTTCCTTACAGCAACTCCTAAAAGGTGGATGGTGCTGTTGCCATTTAGAGGTGTAGAAACCGGCCCGAGAGGTGACGGCATTTCCCAGGATTGCAGAGCTGGGAGCGAGGGGGATGGCAGGGATATGAATGCAGGTCTGCCTCATTCCAGAGCTCTTTGCACGATAGCCTCCCCGTGCCTGTATCCCTGTTCCTGCCCTCAGCCGGGTCCCTTGCACGCAATGGATCCTGTGTAACATTGGCTGTAACTAGACTGAGTTACAGAAAGAGCCCAAGGCGACCTGAGCTGGCTGCAGGGACAGCAGACTCACTGTGTGATCAGGGCGTTTGCCTCCAAGCTGTATTTGTTGGCTGGGATGGAATGGATTGGACATTCCTTCATTCATTGGACAAATAAGTGCCAGTAAAGTTGGCAGGATAGGTGAGTGCCTGGTGCCCTGTGATGGGGGTGGGCAGGGCCCCAGCAGTCTGGCTTTTTGTTGTTGTTGGGGAGGGACTGAGGGGATCCCTACCTGCTGGGTCTGACCTACGTACCCTTGAATGTCTTGGGGTGGAGGGGCTGCTGTTCGCCTCCTCAATACCCAGCTCAGGTGACTGAAGAGGTTGGGGCTTCCAGGCAGGCCTGTGGGTGTTGGCCATTGGCGTGGCGATGGGTGATCCAGCTGTGTGCTGTCCCTTTGCCCCCTCCCTGACAGCCTCGAACCGAACCTGTGTGCTGAGTGAGAATGTGGCCCAGGCGTAATTTCTTCAGAGGGCAGTGGCCAGGTGGCCTGGTACCTTGGTGCTGTGCCATTCACCCATTCATTCCCCCAACAGTCACAGGCACCTGCTCTGAGCTCAGCCCCGTGCTGGGCTCTAGGGACCAAGATGACCACGACCCAGCTCCAGCCTTCCAGGAGCCACCCTGCCAGTGGTCACTGACCTAGGCTCTGCCCCTCACTGCCCTTGGCACCCAGGCCACGTTACTGAGCCTCTGCTTTCCCATGGGCGTGGGAAGTCCTGCCCACCTGTCTTCCTCTCAGGGCCAAGTGCGTACGGAAGGCCCTGGAGCAGAGAAGGCTGAGAACCTGCCAGCGTTCTGGTGGCCCTCACTCATCCTGTCCCTCGCAGGGCCGGAGACTTTTTATGGCCCTGACCATCCAGTGCTTCGTGGGCGAGTAGCCGGGAAGGTTGTGGGGTGGGAGGGAGGGGAGGGGGAGTTTGATGCCAACTGTGCTGTGTGCGCGCGTGTGTTACGTTCAGCTCAGCACATCAACTTAGTTCTCAGTTTTGTGCCTCGCTGGCTTTTTCTGTTCCTCAAACATGCCCCACCCGTGCCTGCCTCCGGGCCTTTGCACTTGCTGTCCCCTTCGCCCTGACTGTTCCTCCTGCTGATACCTCCTGGTGTCCTTCCCTCACTTCCTTCTGCTCAAATGAATGAGTCCTCCGAGAGGCCTTCTGCGACCATCCTGCCTATAAAAGCTCCCATCAGGTACTCTCACTCCCTGACCTGCTTTGTTTTCCTCTCCTATTTTTTCACTTCTATTTTGGTTTTTCAAGTAGAATGCACGCACGGTGAGGGCAGGGACGTGCCCACTGCTATAGAGCGTGGGGTTTCTCATCCCAGCACTCTGGACATTTGGGTGGTTGTCGCGTGGGTTGTCCTGCGCGTCAGAGGATATTCAGCAGCATTCCCGGCCTCTACCCACCAGGTGCCAGTAGCACTGCCCATTCCGCTTTGACCATTAGAAATGGCTCCAGATATTGCTAGATGTCCTCTGGGGAAGCCCTGGCCTAGAACAGAGCCTGGTGTGTAGTAGATGCGCAGAAAATGTTGATTAAACGCCCCAAAATGTTCACCTGACCTGTATAGTGACCCCGTTTTGTGGATGAGACAGAAGAGTTTGAAAAGCCAATGGTGACAGGACTGGCCTCCGGTCTGTCTCCCTCTCTCTGGACTGTTTTTCTGGGCTCGTCTCTCTGCTCTATTGAGTCTGCAGAGGCTAGGAGTGCTCATTCCCGCCCTGGCTCACAATGGGGCCACTCCCGTGGGGTCACTGGCTGTGACGCGGGGTCCTAGTAGGCACGTGACCTGTCCAGAAGCTGGCAGGGAGGGAAGCTGGGGCTCGGGATAGGGAGAGGGGTGCTTAGGATAGGGAGATAGTGGAGCTGCTGTGGCTCCCAGTTCTGGCCACTCTGCCGGCCACGGGGAAGCAGTATTGATGACTCAGGGAAAGGGCCCGACCTCAGAATCAGACAGACCTCAGCACAAATCCTTACTTTGCTGTTTATAGACTGGGTGTCCTTGGCATGTCTGGGAGCCTCAGTGTTCCCATCAGTAAAATGGGAATGATCCCCACCTCACTGGCTGGTTGTCAGGATTAAAAGTACTTTATGGGTGTCAAAGCCTGCGGGCAGCTGTTTGAGCATTGGTGGCTTTGCAGGTCTGACCTGCTCTGGTCCTGGGGCGGTGCCAGGCTGAGCGGGTCCACTGTGGAATCCGGTTCTCTGTCTGAGCCACAGAGCCATGAGGTGTGGGTGGCAGACCTCCCGTTGCCCAGAGCTCCTGCCCAACATCCCTGAGGTCAGTCTCCCTCCTGCCTGGTGGTGCTTCCTTCCCAGATGCCCCTTGCTGGGCCTCTCACTCCCCCGCCCAGTGGCCTGGCTGTAGGCCCCCAGGGAATGTGGCAAAGGCTGTCAGGTCAGGAAATCACTGTCCCGCCCTTCCCCACT